TTTTACAGTGTCTTTACAGACAATTTCATATGAGTGAATTTCATCTTAATTGAATTTGATTTCTATAGTTAATTTAATGTTAATTCAATGTTCCTACATTGAATTTCATTTGAAAGCCTTTCAATCTTAAATTTGTGCTCAGTCACATTTTTTTTAACAGAGTTTGTTTCTGAGTTTGTTAATGCAACATTGACAAATGTTAGAAAGACACATTCATGTTTCAGACTAATAAACCATACATATACAAACACATACATATACATACATATGCCTATACATATACATACATACACACCTACATATAACATAAATGGCAAATAATAATTAAATAAATAAATACATAAAGTCATACAGTCAACAAGGGCTTAACACAATACATCCTATTTTCCAAATAACTAAAGTAAATTACAGGATTTAGGAGGGAACCACAACACATCAATGCTCTACCAGAGTTTGTGTCTGACTCATAGTTGTATACATATCCACCAACAACATTACTCCGCCGTAAAATTAGCAGTGCTTAAAGCCTCCACATAACTAAGGAAAGGCTGCCATATCGACGTGAACTTATCAGCTGACCCCTTAATTGTGTGTCTAATCTTCTCCAGCTTAATGGAATACAACATATCTCTAATCCATTGTGCAAATGTGAGGGTGGGGGAGGTGACTGTCTTTCTATCTAACCAGGACTAGTCGTCTAGCCACCAGTTTGGCAAAAGATAAAAGACATAATTTGTTGCTATTCAAAGTAAGATTTTGTGGCACCACATCAAACAAAGCCAGGGAGGCTGAAGGTTCCAAGGATTCATCAATAATATTAGCAAGTACTCCAAATACTGATTGCCAGAAATCATGTGGATTAAAGTGGCTTGGTTCTGCTTGCAACGATCACATATTGGGTCTTCTTACCCTTCCCAGATGAAGTGACATCATTTATCAAATCTAGGAGAGTATCTGGTGGCTGTGAAGGGAACTGAGTGATATTCGAAGACACACAGCTATGAATTTGAAGATACCTGAGGAAGTGTGTCCTGGGGATATTAAATTTCTGAACAATCTGATCAAAAGAGGCAAATGTACCATTTATGAGCATGGCTTTGAATGAACAAATCCCATGATTAAACCGAACACTGTATAGAAACTACCGAGCTAGAAGTTAAGCTCAACAGAACATAAGAACTTTAAGGCGCACATATTAATAAATGAAATAACCCCACTTAGTAAGGTTTACATTAACTCACTCCAAGTTTCTTTGTTAACTGCGGCCTTAAAGTTAGAAAGTTCTGTCCTGGCTGCCTGTATCTCTAGTTTGATAGCAGACATTTCACTCTTAAGCACCACCCGAACCTCATCCTTGAAAATGGTACCGAAATCAGCTCGCAATGATGACAGTAGCTCATTCTTAACGGCCATGATTTCAGTAGAGCTAACCGCTACTGAAGGTGTTACTCATTTTGCTCTAAGCCTTAGACCTGGTCCTGGATTAAAGTTTATAGACTGCTGCCTCAGTCTGCTCTAGGCCTTAGACCTGGTCCTGGATTGAGGCTCATAGACTGCTGCCTCATTCTGCTCTAGGCCTTAGATCTCATCCTGGATTAAAGCTTATAGACTGCTGTCTCATTCTGCTCTAGGCCTTAGACCTGGTCCTGGATTGAGGCTCATAGACTGCTGCCTCATTTTGCTCTAGGCCTTAGACCTGGTCCTGGATTAAAGTTTATAGACTGCTGCCTCAGTCAGCTCTAGGCCTTAGACCTGGTCCTGGATTGAGGCTCATAGACTGCTCCCTGAGTCTGCTCTAGGCCTTAGACCTGGTCCTGGATTGAGGCTCATAGACTGCTCCCTGAGTCTGCTGTAGGCCTTAGACCTGGTCCTGGATTGAGGCTCATAGACTGCTGCCTCATTCTGCTCTAGGCCTTAGACCTGGTCCTGGATTGAGGCCCATAGACTGCTGCCTCATTCTGCTCTAGGCCTTAGACCTGGTCCTGGATTGAGGCTCATAGACTACTGCCTCATTCTGCTCTAGGCCTTAGACCTGGTCCTGGATTGAGGCTCATAGACTGCTGCCTCATTCTGCTCTAGGCTTTAGATTGCATCCTGAAATTGTGTGCCATACTATCTACTTCATTATATGTAATAAATGAAACTGTAAATATACAAATTGTCCATATAAATGTATGTGTATACATGTATACATACACACACACTCAAATATATAAGAGGGACCCTAACATGTATATTCTTATATGCACATCCACAGAAATGGGAAAAGAAAAAAAAACGTGTTGTTTTTTAAGTTGTGGGGCCACTATTACAATTTTCACTCACATCATGTTACGTAGCTTTAATACATTTAAAAAAACCTATATTGTCTATATTTTGTTCAGATTGTTGTTCACAGGCCAGGAGCTCTGTTAAAGTCAATTCATTTTAAAAGGAGTTCAGCTCCACAGTGTATGTAATCTGAATTAGAGGCTCCTTCACCCAGGAGGATAATGTGTAATCTGACTTGAATTGATATTTACAGTGAATGAAATATGAAGTGAATTTAACTTTATAGCCATTGTGAATTGATTTTAACTTTATTGAGAATTTATTGAGAACAAACCAGCAGCGCAGTGAACAGACTGGCAAAACAAAGATCTGGAACAAGGACTGTACAGTCAGCTCTGAAACTGCGTTACAGTAAAAGGGGACCCTCAGAAATGGAGTAACACAGACACAGAAGAAAGCATCCTCCTGATTTTCACCTCCCTGCATCTCTCAGCCCCTGCCAGACAGGATCTCTGCTTCTTCTCCCAAGAACCGCACGCGCCTGTAATCCTCCTCTACAGGACCTAGTTGAAACCAAGGCACGGGAGGCGGAGCCACGCACAACAGACACTACAGAGGAAACAGCGACACGATGGTATTATTATATCTATTAAAATTACCATTGTCATTATTGATTGTAGCATTTCACAGCCTAATAACTCGCATGACGTTTTAACTCGAAATGTAATATATTCATATGTAATATATTCATATTTATCAGAGAATTTATGTTTGAAGTAAGTGCTATAGCTCTCAGGCACGTCACTGATGAAGCTCGGGCGCCATCTTGTGGTCAAACCGTGAACCGTCAACTCTGAGAAAGCCCGTCGGGCTCCTCGCTGTAGATGCTGAACTGCTGTATGGAATGATGTGGATTGGTTGGTGTAATTACTCTGAAATTATTCTCATTTTATTTATTTCACATTTTATTTACGGAGCCTCACAAACACAGTAACTCAAGAAGACCCTCAGCTACACAGCGCCTCCACATTTTACCAAAGTGTCCCTTATTCTACTACTGCAGGTTCACATTTTGACCACACGATGACGAACCGCCCTCAGCCCAAACCTCCAGAGCTGGTCTTTCTGCACTGAGCTTTCTCTGATCAGCTAAATAACGATTAAACTACTTGTTATACATGTTAATATGTATATATGTGTGTATTTTACTACTGCCATTATAGAATTACTCATATCATCACTAAGATCAGTATTTTTTGTGTAGTTCTTGGTAAATACTGAGCAGAGCGCCAGTGTCACACACTCATTCTACACAGATCATTCTCAAGATACTCATCTCCGTGATCAGGTTCTACGCAACCACCTAGCAACACATTAGCAATCACCTGGAATACCATAGAAACCAGCTAGCAACACCTTAGCAACCACTTTGGATACCATAGCAACCAGTTAGCAACACCTTAGCAACCACTTGGGATACCACAGCAACCACCTGCCAACACGTAAGAAACACTTCATCACCCATCACCATCTTCACTGTTTAACGTAATTAGCTTTTTCAAGCCAGCTTAAAGTCCAACACTGTTTTATTCCAACACCAGCTGATCAAACTGCAGCCCACACTGGACACAGCCTGCTGGTGTGTGAGAGGAGTTTTGGGGAGTTTGTGTAACTTAATCACTGAAGAAAGACTGAGCTGCTGAACTGTTTGATAAACTCAGCTGTAGAGGACGCACTGATGTCTTAGAGCTATTGGTTAGGATTTTCTGCGTTTATTGCATTGAACAGGAGCCGGTGTGAAGTGTGACGAGTGAGGGAGAAGAAAATGAAGACAATAAGGACACAGATGATGAAGAAGTAGTCCAGACGGAGCGAAAGACAAGGCTGTCTTCTCTTCCACTGATGATGAAGATCCTGATCATCCTCCCCATAAAAACTGCCAGAGTGCCATAAAGCAATTTTACTGATGTTCAGTTTGAAGTTGAATGTAGTTTGTTTGTTCAAGTTCAGTGTTTATAAAAATGAATATATAATGTGAGTCAATGCACACTCATGTGCTGATAATGTAAATAAAAGTTAGGGTAAGAAATCTGAGGTCATCCAGTTTCATTCCTGTTTAAACTCCTTGCAGAAGGTAAATATGTCCTCACACCACATATAAAGACCAAATCTGTTTATACAGAGAACTCGCCTCATGGTATTAGAATAATCTAAATAAAGGTGTGAGTGTCCTCTTCTAAAATATCACGATTAAAAGTCTTATTGTTTTTGGGCCTTATTGCTGTAGGATTCATGATTGCATAGGTTGATTACTTCTATCTTTCATATGAAATAAGGCTTATAGTATAGCAACCCTTGCATATTTAGCATCATAATTACCATTAAATGTTTTAACAGTTTTGGAGAAAACAAAGCAACTGTGGGCTTAAAACTGTGGTATTGTAATGAATATATTACTATTATAATCAATAAAAATCCATAATTATAAGCTAAAAAGTTGATTAACAAAAGTGTATTGATCCTCTCACTAAGGATAGGCCTTGCTGTGTGTAAGATAGGGGATTTTCTCATGAGAAAGTCCTGAAGTTTAGAAGCATCTAGAAGCTAGTGTACTTTGTTGTGAAGGAAAGCTGACCCTCAAAGAGGGAGGTAAGCTGATAGGGAACCAGGCATAATCAGTTTTGGAACCAGTTCAATAAGACAAGAAGCTAATTGGTAGCCTTGGAAGGATGGGGGTAGCCTGGGATAACTGGGCATGGCAAGTTTTTAAAAAAATAAGGACAGGTGTGTTTGGAAATAAGGGTTTCCGACTGAAGTGTAAAAATAGGAAATAATGGGAACCAAAGTGAACTGAGAAAAGGTGAGAGGGAGGGGCGATTACTTCATCGCCCCCAAACAGGGTATAAAAAATGATGTTTCTGTATTGTACTTTGCCTTTGGCTGTCCGGGAGCCATCTTGCCACCTGAAGCTCAATAAAGAAGAGGGCCTTTTCCTTCCTTCACAAAGAACTCAACGGCTGAAGTCCTTTATTCAATTTTCTTTTATTTTTGACTAAATTTTATTTTATTTTTTATTTTGCGTTTATGACGAGAACAAGCAATTAGATTAATTAAAGAACTGAAACATAGTTATAGAACAGATTAGTGTTTAATTATCCATATGTTGGGGCTCTGAGCGAGCGGGAATCACACTTAGTCCCGACAAAAGGTCAAAGCTTGCTTATATGAAAATAAAGATACAATTTTTTAGGATTATGGATTTTTGGACATTTAAGGACATTTTTGCACAAAGGCCGTGCAAAGGCTTCTATGTTCTCTTCCTGAATTGGGCTTTATTACTGAACATACTGCAAACTGTTCACATGAGCTCACAGCATTTAATGTCTTCCTTCAGCACAGCTCGGTCCAGTGTTCTGTCCTGACAGAACAAGACAAGCCACAAGAAAAGACCTGACAACAGTCAGACAGTACATAAGGCAAACAAAAAGAGTATAATAATAATAATAATAATAATAATAATAATAATAATAAACAGTCAGACAGTACATAAGGCAAACAAAAAGAGTATTAATAATATAATAACATAGTATTAGCACAAAAGATATAATAATAATTATAATAATAATAATATAATAAACAGTCAGACAGTACATAAGGCAAACAAAAAGAGTATTATAATAATTATAATAACAATAGTAATAATAATAATAATAATAACAATATAATAATAATAATAATAATAATAATAATGTCCTGGGTTCGATTCCCGGCCGGGTGACCAGGGTCATTTCTGTGTGGAGTGTACATTTCTCCCCGTGTCCGTGTGGGTTTCCTCCGGGTACTCCGGTTTCCTCCCACAGTCCAAAGACATGCAGTTAGGCTGATTGGACATGCTTAATTGCCCCTAGGTGTGAGTGTGTGTGATTGTGTATGTCTGTCTGTCTGCCCTGTGATGGACTGGCGACCTGTCCAGGGTGTATCCTGCCTTCCGCCCAATGACAGCTGGGATAGGCACCAGCACCCCACCGCGACCCAGAAGGATAAGCGGTTTAGATGATGTATGTATGTATGTATGTATGTATAATAAACAGACAGGCAGTACACGAAGTAAATACTGAGAGTTGATTGGTTGGTGAGCGGAGCAGCTCATTTGCTGTTTGCGCTCGCTGACGTCATGAACGTACATGAGGAGCGCATAAGAGTTTAAAAGCTCTTAAAATATAACAGCCGTGTTAAAATGCCATGATTTTGCTCAAACGCTCCATCTTAACCTCTTATCCTCCAGGGTATATTTGGATTTGTCCATCTGAATTTGCATGACCCAATCATAAGGCAAGTTATTCAGTAACTGCATGAAATAAATGCAAATTATTATTTTATTTATTTTTATTTTTTGTAAAAGCTCCTCTCAGATTAACAGAGCATGTGTTTTATGATCACACATATTGCTATATGCTTACAGTTCACTGCTGAAAGACAAAAATCTTAGACACTCTTTGTATTATTTTATTAAAGTAATGTTTACAGAGCAGATCACTGAAGAGACGCCATCTGTTTACAGTTTACAGCCCAGATTTGTGGAAAAATGGGTCGACTTTCAGTAGAAAAAACTGAGTTCAGCTTCTTTTATTATAAGGGTTTAAAATTACATCACCGTCTATTTGACTGGAAAGAAGACAGTTACAGCCTCATACGACCCCCACCTTTAGAATGTAGCTTATGAAATATGAACGTTATGAAGAACATGACGAGGTGCGTTTTGGAACCACCGGTGGTTCCAAGCAGCGCCCTCTAGCGTTTGAGAAAGAAGACATTGCAGAGTGGTGACTCTCCTCTCTACAAGCTCTCGGCTGCTTCCTGCTGTTCTCGCGGTATTTTGAACGGAGACCAACGGACGAGCGGTCGAGGCGCGGATCCGCTGTGCTGAGGGCTCGGAGCGGAGAGACCTGCTTACTGGCGGAGTTTGATCATTGCTTTGAGGATGTTCAGGTTTTTTTTAAACGTCCTGAAAATGAAAAACACGTGGTTGACCTGCGCTCGGACGAAGAGGACGCCTTGAGAGGGAGGACAGGTCGGAGGATTTTCAGTTCAGCCGGTTCACCGCTAAAGTCCTGCGGTTTGTAGCGTTAATCCGCTCCGTTAGCGCCATTCAGCCACCATACGAGGCTGAATTCGGGCTCCTGTTTGGCCGCTTCTTGTTCCTAATTTCCCGCTCCACCTTGAATGGGGCAGCGGTGACACTCAGTTCTGAGGCACCAGACTGTAACTGCGGAACCGTTTAAGGTGGACCGGGAAACGGAACAGGAGGCTGACTTCAGCTCCGGTTTCACGGTTGAAGTCAGCGCAGTTCAGTCAGTCGCCAAACTGGTGAAACTCACTGACCGCAGCAGAACCGCAGCTGGACAGAGCGGAAAAAACGGTGTTGTATCCGATTCGGTTTCCCCTCAAATTCACGCTCCCTTTGACAGATCAGGTCCTCAGGCGCGCGCGCTCACTGACAGAAGACACCGCCGAACAACACTGGAACAAATAAACAAACCAATAAAACAAACCAATAAAACAGCACGACTGCCTTGTGATTAAGGGTGACTAGGCTCATAACAGACATTGTTTTATTAGCGAACACAGACTTACTTCAGAGCTAATCAGTTCAGTTATGGGTGACATTCACAGACAGTACAAAGCCCTGTCCAAGTCGCTTCCTCCTCCCAAATACAGTAAAGATAAGCTCCATTGGACCATAATGTGTGGATGAAATATCTAGTTCTAATAATCAATGATGCATTACAGTACATAATCAATCTGGATCTAAGCAGATCAGTGTTTAATTATAGGGAACATGTCCAGACAGGTAAAACGCCCAGATCTGCTCTCCTTCCTCTAAACAGACGTATTCTGAACCTAAGCTGACAGTTTTCCATTAAAGAGAACAACTAGAGACAGACAGGGAACAATCAGTCCAGCTCTGCTGAGAGAAGCTCCATTATGAATATCATTCGTGCATGTTAAACAGCGGCTTTAACAGAGTTACATTACAGTTATTATTCTCAGACCCCGTGTTTAATAAGGGGGGGCACTTACAGTCAGTTAAGATGCCTGATCCAGATCTGTTCCCCTCCTAATTACAGCTCAGAGAAGCTCCATTATGGAGGATAAACCTGGATTATTACTCTGTGAATGTTGCCGGTGCATCATAAGTTATTATGACTGTATATTTCATCCACATGTACAGTGTTCATTACTGAGCTTCTCTCAGAATGTGTTTCACAGGAGAAACAGATCTGCACAGGACGATTCATCTGAGGAAAAATATTTACAGCAAAAACTGTATTAATCACAACAGATCCAGTAATAATGTGTCATTAAAACAATATTTAAGATGAACGTAGTCACTTTTAATTGCAGTAATCAAGCTTTCGTGCTACTTTTTGATTTCTATATTTTGCGTGTCAGACAAGGCCGAGATAAACATGGCATAATCGAGATTTCGTAATAAATAATATTTTTAAACAGTCGTACTGATACTGATACACGCCGAGCGTGTGGTTGTGTTTTGTATCTGCTGTCATTTATCAGCCCTGTTTAACTCCTCCTTCGTTCCACAGTTCCAGCTAAAGAGCCCTTTGATAAGCAGTACAGATGTGGAGCGCCCTTGGGAAAGGGCGGTTTCGGCTCAGTATTCGCTGCTGAGAGGATCTCGGATGGTTTACAGGTGACTTAAATACAGTCAGTGCAGCAGTGAGGATCCCAGTGTTGAAGTGTTCAGGTCTGTTAGCGTCTGCTAATTTAATCCCCCCTCAATGTGTTTCAGGTTGCAGTCAAACAAATACTCCGCGATAGCGTACAGCAGTGGGCACGACTGGTGAGTCTAAACACTTTTGCACTTTTATTCTCTCTTTTTTAACCAAAGCTTCAAAGTGATTTAGCATTTTAAAATATTCTACTGAACAGAATTAAAACTACTTGTTGTGTAGTTACACATACGTCAGGCAGTAATTATTGATATTACTGCGCTCTCTAGTGGTAGTTCATGTATTCATAACATAACGGATGAAGGTGAGTAAGAACGTTGATGGATTTTTCAAAATAACCTATGAGGAACCAGGCAGTTTTGCCGTAATCAGCAGCCAGACCTCTTCATCTCATCACTCTCTCCCCCGAATGTCTTGCACAGCCTGGTCATCCGAGCCTGGTTCCCATGGAGATCGCACTCCTGGTGCAGCTGGGAAGTGGGCCAGGAGCGGGGCCCTCTCACCGTGGCATCATCCGGATGCTGGATTGGTTTGAGGTGCCAGGTTAGGCATTCTTCATCGTGTTTGAGAGACCCCAGCCTTGCCAAGACCTCTTTGAGTTCATCACAGCACGTGGTGCTGTGGAGGAGCCTGTTGGAGACATTCCCTTTCAGCGAGACAGGGACATTGTCCGGGTTAACCTCAGTTTCACTAAGAGCGTCTCTGAAGGTGAGTTTCTTTGCTCTTCTCTCTCCTGAGAGAGTTTTTCATGTAGCCTGTTCATCTATGTTCTGTGTTAAACATCCACATTGTGGTTTTTTGATGTTACTAAAACTGGTTACAGTTTAATGAATGGAGTGCAAAAGTTTAGGCACCTTTCTTATATCACAATGATACAAACACACGCACACACTCAACTCACCACACACTCCACAAACACACTCAACACACCACATACACACCACACGTAACATGCCAAACACACACACACACCACACACTCCACAAACACACTCAACACACTTTGAAGGTAGTAGGAAATTACAGGTGGCAGTGTATTTAAGGTGAAAGTGGCTTTAAGGTAGCAGTGAGGTTAAGGTAGCAGGACATTTAAGGTGACAGTGAAACTTAGACAACCATAGCAACGACCAACTTAGCAACACCATAGCAACCACTTAGCAACCACACAACAACCACTTAGCAACGCCCTACCAACCACATAGCAACACCATAGCAACCAACCCTGATACCATAGCAACCACCTAGCATCCATTTAGCAACACCACAGAAACCCCATAGCAACCAACTCTGAGCAACCAACTAGCATCCACTTAGCAACACCAGAGAAACCCCATAGCAGCCACCTCTGATACCATAGCAACCACCTAGCATCCACTTAGCAACACCATAGCAACCCCATAGCAACAAACTCTGATACCCTAGCAACCACCTAGCGTCCACTTAGCAACACCATAGCAACCACTTAGCAACAAACTCTGATACCATAGCAACCATCTAGCGTCAACTTAGCAACACCAGAGAAACCCCATAGCAGCCAACTCTGATACCATAGCAACCACCTAGCATCCACTTAGCAACACCAGAGAAACCCCATAGCAACCAACTCTGATACCATAGCAACCACTTAGCAACACCAGAGAAACCGCTGTAGAAAGTAGGAACAGCGCAGCAGGAAGTGGGAGCCGTCTAAGCTGTGCGACCGTTTCCGCGTTTCTGGTTTGAACTGTTGTTGTGTTTCAGAGTGCCGGTCTCTGATTGGCTGGTGCCTTGCCCACCACCCTAAAGACCGTCCCACGCTGGAGCAGATCCTGCTGCATCCGTGGATGACCGAGGGTGCGGAGGACACTGGAGACTTGAAAGTTGCGCCGGGCCTTTAAACTGGACTGAGGATGGCTTCACACACCCTGTCTGATTGGACACTGGACAACTGCTGCCTGCTTATCCACACATCCTTCTGTTCCCCCTTTTCTGTTTGTTTATTTACCTATTTATTTACTTATTTACTTGTTTAATTTTTGGAAATGCTCTCGGGCATATTCTTTACCTCGTGCAGACACTTCCGTGTCCTACGCCCGAAACTCGGGCCTGGTCCGCTGCAGGTCCAGCCCCTCGTGTGCACTCTGAATCTACACCTTGCAGCACAAGAGAAGACAGAATGCTTTCTTTTCAGTTATGCTTGGTTTACCTGACACTGTTCACTAGAGCCCTCTGGGAGATGCTAACAAGTTGCCTTTCGGTTTCTGTCTTTATTACGAATGTAAGCAGTGCAGCTGTTCACCTGCTGTAGTTTTGGTCAGAATGAACGTTTTGTTGTTCAGAGACAATAATTCGGTTTTTGGTTCACTGTCTATGTTTACCAGGAGACCTCAGAGAACACCTGCCATTTCATTTGCTGCTGTTTAGCTACCAGAGAATCTCCTGAACCTGTTTGTTGTTTTAGAGCTGTATCCATGTTTAATCAACAGGACCAGATTAATGTGAGGACCTGGGCTGTTTTCAGTTGGACTTTATTTTGAGTCGTGTGAACAACAGTTTGAAATCCTTGCGGTTTTGTTGGGTTTGCACAACAACTCTGCTGTAAATGCTTGTGTGTTGACTCTTGTACCGTGGCAGCGGTCACATGACCGTCTTTAAAATAAAATCCAGATCTGAAAATGTAAGAGGAAGTGAAATATCGATTCCTCAATTCAGCATGAGTTCTGATCATAATTCATGAAGTGAGACTGCGAGCACTCACATGCTAATTTTCACACACACATTTTTTGTTTTATACCAGTGGAAAATGTTTAAAACAAGTCAGCAGTGCAGTTTCCAGAGAATTCCAGTAGGAAAGTTTATAATACACACAGAAACACTGTACTTCACAACAAAGAGGAGAAAACATAGCGAGTTTTGCTGCCACCTAGTGGCCATTAAACGGAAAGGAGCCTGAGCCGTACCTGATGAGCTTGGCTACATCTCAAACGGCTCCCTACTCCCTACACAGAGCACTTCGTAGGTCTTAAAATATTGGCTCCTGCACCCAAACAGTCATTTCGGACTCTTTTGGGATTCCCTACTGGACCCATAGTGCGCCGTTTGGGTTTTCCTTCTCATTATGACATTAGTACATGTTGTGTGAGATTAAATGATTAATCTCTATGAACATGTAGGAATGTGAACTGCTGCGTTCTGCCTCTGTCTGTCTGGATGAACACAGGAAGTAAAAGCCCAGCACTACATGGTACAATTACAATAAACATCCAAGAGCAACATGTGATTTAATTTGTTTGTTGGCCTCTTTAAAAATGCCTCATAAACATCTTCAACTGTGTAACGTCCTTAGGGTGCAGGGATGTTGTGCCTAGTAAAACCTGGTGGAATAACAAAGGCAGACTTCCTTGGACTTTTGATCCCAGTGAGAAATCCTGGTGTTACTACAGCTGCAGATAATTGGTGGACGACTGCTTCGGCCTGAAACGAGGAAGCCTGAGTGGAAAGTTTTGACTTTGCTGTGATTGCGTTCCCTTTAACTGACCACTGCTGTTTTTTCATGTCTTCATCAATTAGGTGCTGAAAAAGACGGCCAAGTACATCCAGGAGCAAAACCAGGAGGAGTACGCTCTTCTAGGTCTCCTCCTCACCGAACCCGCTGAGAGAGGCCTTCGAGTGATGTCCTCCTCTGACGGACAGAGTCCTCTTCCAAATTCAGAACGGCCGGAATCTGATCAGATCAGTGTGGGTTGTGGCAGAGTTCTTGGAAATGATTGACAGTTGGATTTGGGAAGGCCATAAGAAATGAAAGAGGATTTCTGAAGAGCTCACATTTGTAGAAGAGCCTGATATAGGAATATTACGCGCAGATAAACGGGAGAATGTAAATCTCCCATTACATTTAATATCGATAACGGCAGTGATTCGGCCGAGTTAACGTACGAGTGGAGTGGAAGATTTATTCAGTTTCAACTCAGGAGATCAGAACTGCAGTTTGAAACAAGATTCAGCTGAGATACCGTGAGGGACACGGTGCTCTTTATAGCCGAGACATCTTCAGAAGGTATCATCTCCAATGTTTTAATCACTGAATTTCATATACAGATTACAGTGTGAACTGTCCTGAAATGGGAAAGAGGGTAAATTACTGCCTGTTGGTATCTGCATTGGCCAGAATAAAGGCTTTCGGCCCAGAAAGTCCATATCTGTCCATTCCTTTACATTTCAGTACAAAATGAAGTGTGTCCTGAATTATTATGTAAGTTTACTTTACGTTTGATATGAATTATTGGACAGCGGACATGTGTGTATTTCATATTGATACTCCCCTCTAATAGAGGGAGTCATAGTTTTATAAGGAGTTTTCTTTAAACCAGTCTTTCTAAGCACTGGATCAAGATACAACATACCAAAGGTAAACACTGACCCAGAGATTAGAACTCACTGGCCACAGTTTATCAGCATCTTCTGACCACATGATCTCTGTGATAAAGTGTCTGGGAGTGTTGAACTGTATGTAATCTAGTCAGGTTTGTGTTTGCTTTCAGGAGAATGTACTGCACACATTGGCACTGCTTGTTCATTTATAAGCTGTCAGGTTTTGTATAAATCAACATCATTTACAAGCTTGTATATTGTGCCATGTGTTTTATATCACTCGTTTTTAAAATGGTTTATCTTTTGAATCCTTTAATCTCTTTGCTTTCTGTATATACACTATATTGCCGAAGTATTCGCTTGTCTGCCTTCACACACATATGAACTTGAGTGACATCCCCAAACTGTTCCCCCAAAGTTGCGAGCATGAAATTGTCCAAAATCTCTTGGTGCTGAAGCATTAAGAGCTCCTTTCACTGGAACTAAGGGGCCGAGCCCACCTCCTGAAAAACAACCGCACACCATAATCCCCCCTCCACCAAACTTTACACTTGGCACAATGCAGTCAGACAAGTACCGTCTCCTGGCAACCGCCAAACCCAGACTCGTCCATCGGATTGCCAGACGGAGAAGCGTGATTGGTCATTCCAGAGAACACATCTCCACTGCTCTAGAGTCCAGTGGCGGCGCTTTACACCACTGCATTCGACGCTTTGCATTGCTCTTGGTGATGTAAGGCTTGGATGCAGCTGCTCGGCCATGGAAACCCATTCCATGAAGCTCTCTATGCTGTTCTTGAGCTAATCTGAAGGCCACATTAAAGTTTGGAGGTCTGTAGTGATTGACTCTGCAGAAAGTTGGCGACCTCTGCGCACTATGCGCCTCAGCATCCGCTGACCCCGCTCTGTCATTTTACGTGGCCGACCACTTCGTGGCTGAGTTGCTGTCGTTCCCAATCGCTTTCACTTTGTTATTTAGTAGTAAGGAAATTTCACGACTGGACTTGTTGCACAGGTGGCATCCTATCACGGTACCACGCTGGAGTTCACTGAGCTCTTGAGAGCGACCCATTCTTTCACTAATGTTTGTAGAAGCAGTCTGCAGGCCTAGGTGCCTGGTGTTATACACCTGTGGCCATGGAAGTGATTGGAACACCTGAATTCAATGATTTGGATAGGTGAGTCAATACTTCTGGCAATATAGTGTATGTAATGGTGTACAATAGTTGTATTAATGTTATGTGATGAAATTCCTGCTAAATGTGTTTGACCTGCTGGTCAGTCAGCGTATTACAGCTTCTTACAGCTCCTACACACACATATATATATATATATATATATATATATATATATATATATATATATATATATATAGCGCAGCAATGTTAGCTGGGTTAATTAGCTTATTCTTAGCTGCACCATGTGGTCTGGATGCCATATTTTGTGTTCACCACCAGATGGCATTACTTCATATTTTACTCTTGGCTGATGTTCCACTAATTAAAAAGGATGATGTATCTATAATTCATATTGATGCTGTAACTACTGACCCTGATGGAAATGTAAAATGTAGATGTGTATAAATGTAAAAACTAAACATATGAAAACACGAGCACTTTCACCACTATACGATCAAAGCCATTTGTAAAGGTAATTGTATTATTTTCAGGAATTTATATCTCTCCTGTCATTGGTTTATTTTGGAAATATCCTTCCTTCCTATCTAATACTGACACACAGGGCATCTATAAGGCTTGATTTATTTCTAATTCTACAGATATCCAGAGCCTCTTAATGTCTACTATATTATAAGTCATTATTTTGAGGACCAATTTTTCTTGTTGAGATGTTTTATGCTTTTGAGATGAAAATCTAAATATACATTTACATATAAATAAGAGTGTATCTCAAAATAATGAGAAAGCATCTCAAAACAAAATGTCAAAATAATGACTTAGTATCTCAAAATAATGCCAAATGAATTCACTTAAGAACTGATTGATTGACTTGATTGATTGACTGATTGATTGATGGTGTAGTGAACACCACAATCTGGTTGAGCCAAAGTCACTCTTATTTACAGGAACTCTCCACATTACCCAAACTAAACGCTTTGGCTCCACAAAGTCTGAGCTGAGAGCCATGAACAGGATTAAACTGTCCAACAAACCAAAAGTTTTACAGCTTAAAAGAAAGTTACCCTGGGACCAAGCGTGGCCACCGCGGGAGGTTATCAATAAATAGTGGCAGCAATAAATCCCTGCCTGGAATCCAGCTGCAGAGTTTTACCAAAACTCTTAACTAAAACTTTTGATGTATCTATCCACTCATACTGTTTTGTGTCTGCGCTGTTATCCGGTGTCGACCAGAGGAGGATGGGTTCCCCTTTTGAGTCTGGTTCCTCTCGAGGTTTCTTCCTCCTGTTGAGGGAGTTTTTCCTTGCCACTGTCTCCAAGGCTTGCTCACTGGGGGCGTGGACCCGGATTCTCTGTAAAGCTGCTTTGTGACAACATCTGTTGTAAAAGGCGCTATATAAATAAATT